TATTGAGCTTATAATATTTCATACAATATATTGTTGGGCAGTGGTGTGTGATTTAGTAAGAGTGAGCCTTATTGTGTTCTCATCCATATTAGAGAACAATTTATTATACTTGAGCTTCATTTGTGAGTATCACTTTGTAATACACAAGTTGTGACGCCCCAGGGTTCACACAAGGCTGCAGTCCAAGGTGAAACCCGGATTGTCAAACTTGCCAAGACCAAACACCATACTACGGCATGTTTCACCATCACAATCACTATCTCTCTAGTGGAAACAATAAATAGATGAAGGAACAGACATGCAAAATAGAAATAGAACGACACCGAATGTACACAGAAGAAGCATATGAAATATCAATAATGAGCCCAACTGGGATGAAATAGATATATCTCTGAATCTGAACTGAATTTCAAATACAATGAGTCAATTAACAAAGTCTCACAATAGCTCTCAACTATATGAAACAAAATATCAATCTAGAGTCTGAAAATAATCAACTACATGTGAAGTTCTGCAATAACTACAAAATATGATAAGTAGCTAAACGGACAACTAAGATGTCCCATCAACCTGCGACTCTCCGTGCGCCGGAATCGCTGCCTGAAAGTGGGGAAACAACGAGCGTCAAAGCGCTAGCGAGATCATCACTACCTCTCCCCAGGGGAAGGGATAAGAGTATATAAGAAAATAGAGTCAGTACATACATATATCAAATCATTCATATAACTCTCTATGAAAGAAAAACAAATAATCAATGATAAATACTCCAATCTCCAACATAAAGAATAATCATCTCATCTCGAAGTACATCCGAGTAATCTGTTCCAATATAAGAGGATACTAACTAAGCTAAAACAAATATATATGTCGTCCATAACGGGTGTGCTAAAAATCTCAAAGTTAATACCCTACTCGCGGGTAAATTCTCATGAAAGTAAAGCTTACAACTGACCAATTAAAAATCTCAAAGTTAATACCCTACTCGCGGGTAAATTCTCATGAAAGTAAAGCTTACAACTGACCAATTATCTATGTGTACATCATCTCGTATTATAGCGATACTTTTGTAAGGCTCTTTACTCAATCGCTCTACGGCAATAGGGTTTATTATTTTCCTATTCCGGATACATGTAATAATAATACTATTGTAATGATCTTACTCAATCATTCTGCGACAAATAGGTTTTATTATTTTCCTATTCCGGATACATGTAATAATGATACTATTATAATACTCTTACTCAATCGTTCTGCGGCAAAAAAGTTTCATCTTCCTATTTCTGGATACGAATAGAACATCATTATTCATATGTGTTTATCAATTTAACTCGTGTCAAAAGTGTGTCAATCTAACACAACCTAGCATACATGCACCAATCTCGGTGTGCGTGTCCACATCTGAAGTTCACCATCTTTCCAGGTGTTTATCAAGTCTTAACATTATAGTTAATCATTACAAAGTCAAGAGGAACACTCGAAAACCCAAAATCCAACTCAACTGAACATGCACGCGGTCGACCGCGACGGGCTCCAGAGACTACCCAGGTCTCTGTCCTGCACGCGATCGACCGTGGATCCTGATTTCCATATTCTAAATTCTTGGTGTATGTCGTGTTCACGTCGTGTTTTTGTGATTCAAACATGATTAAACCCTCATAATCTTGCATACAAACATGTTACAGCAGATAAAAATATCTGTAAAACAAAATAACGTATATAACCATGATTTTATGCATAAGATTCATATTCAAAACTTTAAAACATGCATAAAAGCTCAAACAATGAATCAAACTTCTTTCTTTAGATTAACCACATTTTAAAATCATCATCATATCTAAATCACATCTGTAAAAACGTTCTCAACCCTTTTAGCATGAAAAGACCTAATCTTTATAAATATAATACAAAAGAGTTGTCTTTTATGCATAATCTATTCATTTAGGCTCTACAAAACATGTTTAAATCTTTTTAAAAATATTTTAAAAACTGGGAGGGGGATTAGTAGAGATGATACTCGCCTGGGGTTGTAGGAAAACCTTTTAGAAGTAACGTCGAAAGAGATCTCCACTCCAAAAGCCAAAAATCAACAAAAATCCACTTGAAAGCCTCCAATCTTCTCCAAGAAATCAAACTAGGGTTTGGGGGTTTGGTGGCTGTTAGGGTTTTAAAATACTGATATAGTTTGAAAATTTTGTGAATACATGTTATATATAGTAGAAAAACGGGTGTGGGCCTGAAAATACCCAAAACCAAACCAAACCAAGAAACCTGATCTGACTAGAAAAATACTTCTTCGGTATTTTGACTGTAACTTCCTCATTCGACATCCGAATGAGGTGATCTAAGACTTGTTGGGAAGATAAAAAAAAGACCTACAACTTTGATCTTTATACTTTTCTAAATTCTAACTGCATCAGTATGCAAAACTTAAAAACTCATAATTGGTCATTATTCCCAAATTTTCACTCTTTTGGTCTTTGTGCATGTTTTGTGCATTTGCACTCATATTTTTATAAATATACATTGAATTGATCTCAAATTAATTCTTATCATATCTAAACATCAAAATATATTATTTTTTACTATATAACATATTTATCATTATTTATCATAAAATATTCAAATTTACGGGGTTTTACACAAGTACACCAAGAGAAGTGTGTGGTGAGGATGTAGTCGATACCAAGAGAAGTGACGTCGGTAGTAAAGCCTAGGAAGAGGTAGTAAAGCTGAGCACTTGAGGAAGGCGATACGTAAGGACCAATACTTAAGGTTGTAGTTTGTGTATGTACATTGTGAGTGACTTGTATAGTTTTCGGTGAACTAGAAAACTGAGTGTGTAGAGAAGTTCCGGCTTCCAAACTGGGTGTGTCATATAGTGGAGATCTCCTTGAGGTGAGGAGCGGAGACATAGGTCAAGGGTTGACCGAATTCCGTGATCATATCTTATGTTTGAGTTTGCTTTGTGTATATTTATTTTGTGCTTGTATTTTACATTCTTGCTCATAACTCATTCATATATCTTTTGCAAGAATCAATTAATAAAGAAAGTTTTTAATTAGCATAAAATCGTAATTAGATTAGCATTGACCCTATTCAACCCCTCATCTCCTATTGCCTTAGTGTATGGTTGGACTGTCGACGTGGGGGAGCGAAGCGAGCCTGTTGACGGAAGGAGAAGTGTGCTCCGCATAGTCCTCATGCGGTCGCTGTTCGGCCAGACCCATAGGAGGGGGAAGAGGAGCAACGACCGATGAAGAGGGGTGCTGAGAAGGAATCCGACTGAGAAGTTCGTTCATGAAGGAAGCGAACTGCTGGTGGAGAGATTGAGAAATTCTTTGAGCTGACTCCTCTAGTTGGGCTTGAGTGACATAGCCCAAGTGTTGGCATTCAACAAAAGGAATAGAGGATCGGCCTGGGTGATCAGAACCAGTCATCTTGTGTGAAGAAGGATGATGTGCTCTACAGTGGGCGCCAAACTATTGATGTCAGTTATCAAATAAGGGGTTATTTTGTGGATTATGAGAGGTGTTAGGGTCATCAAGCTTCCTCAGATGGTTAGTTCCTTAGCTAGAAAACCTATCCTGCACATGAAGAGTTCGTGAGAGGTCGGAGTTGGGATTTTCGGTGGTTCCTCCGACGATCAAGTTAGTTCAAAACTTGAGTGGGAAAGTAAGAGTTATGTAGCAAATAAAATTGCTAAAAGTTGCTTAAAATAGATTACCTTAAGCAGCAGACCTCCATTCATTTTTTATAATAGATCAGAAGGGTAGATAGGTAACTTTGGCCGAGTCCAACTGGTGGCTTGGTCGTTATCTACTTTACAGGTGTCGGCCGCTGAAGGGGGTGCGTCATCTAGGTGTTTAATATGAGGATGATAGGGTGCACGTAGTGCTGATGAGGTCTGATGAGTCATAAAGACTTTTGGGACTGGAGTAATGATGATTCTGATAATACGTCTAGGACAGTAGCGATTGACTGTCGGCGGGGGGCTGAAGGTGCACCACCTTACGATCCGCTCATTTGAGGCAGACAAACACTGTCTTTTTAATCGGCCTCGCGAGTTATCGGCCTGGAAGGGTCGAATGCTAATAGGGAGCGGAGTCAAGTAGAGTGGTATGGGTAGGTCGACAAGTACCGCCTTTTTAGTTAGCTTCGCAAGTTGCCGACCTATTGGGTCGATCGCTGGAGTCGCTCGAGTCGTCCTTCCTTAAGTATGACTGTTTCGGCATAGGGTGAGACACGTGTTGCCCTCCTGATGAGATGAACACTTAAACTATTTTACATGTTATAATAGTTATATAGGTAGTTGATATGGTCTTATGCACCATAAATGCTTTGACTATATAAATAAGCCTAAAAGTTCATGAGGATAACTTAAATGTTGTTTATGGACATCCATTAATAGGTTGATGATATTTATTAATTAATGGCTAAATAGAACTTAAAATGCCTTATAGTTTCACTCATTTAGCATTTATACACCTTTAGTTGGTCAAAATAGGCACTTTAATACCTTGTATTTTGCAAACATGAAAATTTTTATTCGAAAGTTCTTATATAACATTCATATGTTAATTTTGGAGCTTTCTAACCATCAATATTTCTTAAATTACTATTAAACCAACCTAATTCTAATTTTAAATGCATCAAAATTCTATTTCAAAAATAGAATTTTAAAATATTTAACAATGAATTCAACAAAATTAATAGAGAGATAATTATAAGAATAACATATAAACATTATATGGGAACTTTTGAATAAAAATTATCACGTTTGCAAAACATAGGGCATCAATATGCCAATTTTGACCAACTCAGGGTATATAAATGCTACGAAATATAACTGAGGGTATATGAGTGCTAATAGTGTGAAACTATAAGGTATTTAAGTGTCATTTGGCCTTAATTAATCGTAAAGATATCAGATAATACATGCCTTCTTATTACCGGCGCGGACAACCACAGAAGTTATTAATGGGCCGTACATAATGTGGGTCGGATCTGACCTCGACCTCCTAGGATCCATTCACATTGCGCGATGTCGTCGTCTATCTAAATGGTCCTCGATCACCTAACAATCACAAAGTCTCTCTTCTTCAATTAACAGGAAGCAATTGTCACTTTTAGATTTTTGTTTATTTGTTAGATGTAGAAGATACTAAGATCCCCATCGCTGTTCGAATTTGATAAACTCGCTGGATTCGAAGTGAATCTTCTTGCTCTGGTAAGTTGCTGTGAAGTTTATTGTTCTTTAATTATTGATTTTTGCTTATCTCGTAGCCGATTCAGCCCTATTTATTTATTTTCTCTCTCTAATCCCCCCCCTCCGGAATCAAAATTCGACTTGCATTTTCTGAGCCTTTTAGAATTCGGGGTTAAATTGGGTAGACATTTTTTTACAGGGTTATTTTCCTAATGAAATTTCCTGTACCTTTTATCTTAGACTAAATTCGGGTGTATCTTCATGGACTAATTTGTTTGTGAAAGAGTAGGTTGTTTTGATTAATCTTGTTTATTCTGTTTCTTATGGAGTTATGTTGGTAGGGGTTTTAATTTAATGGTTAATAAGATAGTAGGTTACTTGTAAAAACAAGGCTTTTCTTATTTAATAGACTAAAATTATAGGTCTGTGGTGGGTCTCGTTTATATTGTTGGAGCAGCAGAAAGTGGTAGCTAAATTTGATATTATTTATATGAAGTGTGGAAATTATAATGTGGAAGATATTTGTTAATCGTCGTGGTGGTCCATATGTAACAAAATTAGAATCATTTCCAACCAAATATCCCAAAATGAAAGGAACTGGTTGTGACAAGATAAAACTGGTTACAACAATTATTTGAATTCTGCAACACTTCTCAAGCTGAGAGTGGAAAAGACAGACAATCTTGCAGATGGCTACATGCAAAAAGGTTGCCAAGATTGCACGTGAGGAGGGATCGACAGGATTACGTGTGAGAAGATGAGGCTGATGAACTTTGGAAGCTAGTGTTTTAAAAGAAAAAGGCAAGGTCAAGGTGATGAGGTCCTATGTTGCCTGAGGCGAGGGGCGCCAAAAAGGCGATCGTCTAAGTGAACCAAGACGATACACATTCAAAAAATTCATAAACATTATAAATAATATGCAAATATCAATAAATAGCAGCAAGACAAATTAATCGGTGCCAACTTTTCAAAGTCACAAATATTAAGGTAATAAAATATTGAATATTAACATTAACTAGTACCGCTAACACAGATTATCAAACAACAAACTTTGAAGTTTAAGGATCAGATTATGGCATGTCCTCAAAATGGTATAGGTAATAAAATACATTACAACAAAAAAGTAAAAGATTGACCAAGGAAAAAAAACACAAAAATTTCAATAACAAAAGCAATCTTTACATTATCGGATACCTTTCACACCCTTAAAGTTTTGAACCAGAGATAGACACCATGCGTCTTGCATCATATGCCTTAGGCAAGTACCATGCCTAAGACGCCAATGCAAGGTCATGAGGCGTAAAGGTGAGTTTTTGAGGCGCCAAAAGGCGCTTTCCTTAGTAACCTTCATTGCTTGGCAATGCGCAAGGCAGTTAGATCGCTCGCTTGAGACGCTAAGGCCCATCGCCTTTAAAATACAGATGGGCGCAAAGATGAAGTTGGCGAGACTACATGCGAGAAGAGGCCAATAAGCAGCGTGTGCCATGAAGAGTCTGATGAGATTGCATGCAAGAAGAGGACATCAACAATACTGCTAGCAAGAAAAAGATGTTGAAGTTTGAATGAGAGAAGCGGGTCGTTGCAATAAAGATGACGCATGTAAACTGGTAGAAAGAACCTGATTTATTTAAGTGCCAGGCCCTCATTTGCAATGACCTCAATATGATCAACAAGATTTATATGCAATTAAGTAAAAAAGAACATATATAAGCAATTTCTAGGAATACCAAACAAGTGCGCTTGATATTTGATGTTTGATTGATAGTAAGTAACTTACAAATTCTCTCACATTTAAAACCCTAGGCACGTATCTCTATAGTAGAGAAATTTCAATTGGAGCCGTTGTCTCATTTATTATTCATCTTCTAGTAATCCCCCAATAACTAAGTAATGTAATCCGACTCCCAAGGAGGAGGATCAATCTGTTCCACAATGCTCAGATATCGATTATTCCATCTATATATCTATTGATGATGCGTATTTGCATAGTTTATTTGATGCCCTCCTTTCTTGGGCTTTCTCTATTCTTTCAACTTCTTCTGGATCATTTTGTGCCCGACCAAACCGTCTAAGCAGCCATTCGACACATGTATCTCCATAATCTCAAAGCATATGAGTGAAATTCTGGCTCTCCATATAACTTGGCCCTCCATGGTGGTACATGATCAACTTATCATCGTATGGCTCCATGAAAACTGGAAAATATTACACATATTATTATCTCGCTAAAAAAGGTATAATGTAAAGATTGAATTTTTAAAGTACAATTTGATACTAGAAAAATCTTTATGTGACCAAGCTCGTTTCCTTAAAACTCTAGTTCAAAAGTTATTGAACATAACACTTGACATCCCAACAAGGGAAGACCTGTTTAAATGTTGTAGTTAATCATGACACTTCACTTGAGTCATTTTCTAAGTCCATGTCCATGGTACATGGAGGTGATATAAATTCACTCAGGTAATTTTTTAAGACAAGCATGTGGGAGAACTCTTCCTGAGGTTTTGAAACTTAGGCAACACCAGAATTGGAGATTTTTCAATGAGCAACTCTATTGAGAATTGTTTTTCAGAGAGTTATTTTGTGCCCAATCATTTTCTAACCATTGGTGATTTCTATAGCAATTGTTCTACTCTCGTTTATCAGATAGTTGCAGAACAACTTAGTTGCATGTTCTCCTCGATTAATTTAAGTAACTCTATGTATTTCCTTCATCAGTCCATCAAAATTGAATGATATGGATAACATGAACATTTTTCAAGAACCTCCCTCGTATATGGGTGTACTATTTATTCCAACACTTAGTCTTCAATTGAAAAAGTAAAAATGAGTATTCCGTTCGCCATCAAAACTAAAAGATTAACATTCCATCATATTTCGAGACTTCAAAAATCTATATCAAATTTCCTATATTAACTTTCTAGTTAACCTGTAACTGAAAACCCCTATATTAAATTTCATATATCAAATTTCTTGTAAAACCGTAATTGACAAACCCTATATCAAATTTCTAGTTAAACTCTACTTAAAATTTTACAATTTATAATATTCAAATAATTTGTAAAAATTCATATTATGCAACTCTAAAATCCTAAGTGCTCTTTTTTGGTTAACTCCTAATTGTAACCAAGCCACATCATTGATCAAAATTAAAGTAATATTATTCAAAATTCATCATAATTTTCATATTTCAATTGAAACTAAAAAGTTCTACACAAAGAGAAAATTTTCACCTTGCGGAGGAGGCTAGTCGTTGGATCAAAGTTGGTGGAGCTGTGGTAGAGGAGGAGACGGAGATGAACCTGGATCTGGACTAAAGGCAGATGATCAGAGTTCATGAGCGTCGGGGTTTGTCGATGTTGGACGTTGTTAGACTGCGTCGGCATCCGCTTTGGAGTTGGTGGGAGAGAGAGAGAGAGAGAGAGAGAGAGAGAGAGAGAGAGAGAGAGAGAGAGAGAGAGAGAGAGAGAGAGAGAGAGAGAGAGAGAGAGAGAGCAGCGACGGTTGTGAGAAAAATTACGGTACATTTCAGTTTTATATGCCCGAAAAATATACAGGACTAGTAATTCCATGTATTTTGTTGGGAAAAAGTGCATTTTCTCTCTGTTTTAAAAAACTAGACTGATAGTCCTATGTATTTCATCGGCCAAGGTTAATCTCTTTGTTATATACACGAGACAAGTCCCATGTATTTTTTTTGGTCAATGATTATGTTTTCATTCACCAAGTAAGCATTGTATGTACATCAATTCCTTAGCATCCCCAAGTGATTACACTCTCAATCTACGTTGTAAATCTTTATCTTTCAGTTAGAACATCTCTATCTTAAAGAATCTATCCACTCCTTATATTTGAGAGGAATAGTACTATAGTAGACTTATACAAAGATGATAACCCTGAGGCTTTAATCCTCTTTGTCACAATATCTGGAACTGTAGCAGCATTAGAATGCAATATGATATTTCTCTCAAACCACACCCCATAAATTGCAGCCACAATCATTCTTCTCACATTTGCTATATAATTTTTCCCTTGTTGGTTAACATATTGAAAGACTGAATTCCATTTACAACTCATCTTAGAACCAGGCCAAAGCATAATTTGGTTCCACACTTCAGCTAAGAAGACACGCTCAAAAAATGAGTGCCTCTGAGTTTCAACTGTGTTTTGGCATAAACAAGTATTATAATCTATAATCCCCATTTTGCATAATCTTTCCTTTGTTAGCAGTCTGTTATGAGCAATTAACCAAATAGTGAAAGAGGTTGTAGTGATGTTCCATTTTTATGAAATTGGATATTCCATTTTTACAACATTGGATATCATCTATCTTCATCAAAAGGTTCCACTTTCCATGCTTACTTTGGTGAATCTAAACATTTGGACCAAAGAAATGGCACCAAATATATTGCGTTTCCATTTATTTTGAGGTGGAGGGAATTCATCTGTTCATCATTAGTTCCTAGATCACCCCCCTCATCTTATGTGTGTGTGTGTATATATATATAATATATATATATATATATATATATATATATATATATATATATATTATATATATATATATATATATATATATATATAGAAATAATAGGATAGGAAAACCTTGTACCAAGTTTCTCCATTGAACTTGAAGTGAGTGGCCAAAATCAAGACCCTACATCAATCCTCGGAGGAGAAAAGCCTTAATACTATTCAACACTACTTTAAAAAAAAGATGCTACCATCTCCAAAGCCATGGATCTAGGGCTAGATTTGGCCAACACTCACTACCAAGTTCAATGAAAAAACTTTGGTACGCAAGTTTCTCCATAATTTCTCATATATATATATATATATATATATATATATATATATATATATATATATATATATATATATATATAATATAATAAATAGACACACTCCCTTTTGTTCTCGAACAGAAAAGTTGTTTATGACTGGCCTTTCAATCTTATCTTCTTCATGATAGCGGTAGTGATATTTGCTGGGCACAAGCGAACTATGTTCTCAAAATTTTGTTGAAATTTCTAAATCTATAAGAAAATATCTCTCATTAGATTATGTTTTTCTTTAATACCTACACACACTCTTTTACTGACTTCTTCCATTTTGGGCTTCATATCTTATAGATGGATGGCAAGAAAGGGAAGTTTGATAACCATGTCAGGCAAGGAGAACGATGTCCAGCAAATCTTCTTCCAGCATTGGAATTTGTTAAGCAGATACCTGATAGACTTCAAAACAGTTTGAAAGTCTGTCTTCTAAGCTTTTTCCTACCTAAAGAATCCTTGATATTTCATGCTGCTAAAATAGATTGTTCTTTTGCTTTTCTAGTCACATTTCAAGCATTTTGCAAAGAATGAAGTGAAGATTGGTGCTGCAAATCCTCTAACAATGATGGGGAGACAATCATTTAACGCTTTTGAGGTTAACTTAGATAAGCAATTGCAAGCTTGGAAAGAAAATCCTAATTGGGTTGGTCAGTCTCCAGAAATAACGGTATTACTTTAACTATAAAAGAAGAACCAGTTATTCAATGGCTCTCTATGAATGTCTTGTCCATTGCCATTTATTTTGTTTCCTTACCGTTGATCAGGCATGTTTTCATTAGGACTTCATTGATTTTTTTTCTTTTATTGATAAAGAACTTTGTCCAAGAGAAAAAGGCATTTCTTTGAGAAAACTATGTTTCATATGGATTAATTTGTTAACAAGTATAATTCCATCAACTTCTGTGTTGGTACAACTTTATAGCATTTAGCTTAAAATTTTAGCTGCATTGTATACACACAAATTTTCAAGAACTTTATTTGATTTGCAGGTTAGTGTACCAAAAGGTTCCCTTTGCAATTTGAAAGTAAAATTTAATGTTGGATTGCCCCCAGATGCAATATATAATATTGTCATTGATCCTGACAACAAAAGGGTCTTCAAAAACATCCAGGTATGAATATGTTTATGTTCTGGCTGACCCATTATTTCTTCGATTTACTAATTCGTTGTTACTTTTCTTATGACTATGCTTATTTAATTCAATATACAATTGCTAGTTCTGTAGCTAAACCTCAGCACACAGTGGACTGGAATAGGAATATTCTTTTATGAACATGTAAAGTATCATGGTTTGCAATATTAACTATCTGTTTATGAATTTTCTTTAATAGCCGTGATTGGTATGTCAAAGAAAATGGTGTCTACAGTAAAAAATTTGCCATCCCAAGCCTGTCTTCAGATATATAATGTGCTCTTAGATTTTCCCCCCGTGCTGGGCATGGGAGATTTCCAGAGCTGCAATGCTACCCTTTAAAAATTGAGGTGTGTTAATGTGTACATTGCATTTGTTTGCCATAAAGTATAGCCCTTTTGGTTCTTTCTGTTTAAAGGAATTCATTCTGTGATGACTAACAGTAAAGGGTGACTGATACTTGGGATGAGCTATGGTTTAACTGTGGTATGATGTCTTAGTACTGAAATGTTACAGTGACGGACTTCATGTAGAAGAAACATAAAGGGCATGCATGAGCTAGATTCTCAGTCTGGTGTTTCACCGTAGACATGTCCAGGGCTATCATGGTGGCTCATTGTAGGCATTTGGAAAGTTTGCATCTGTAAGACAAATGGTTCTTTGTAAGCACAAGCAGGTGGTTGTGATGAGACATGACATGAATGTTGTGAATTAGTAGGCGTTCCATGAGATGCTTAATGTAAGTTATTAATGTTTTGTGCAGTAAAGGAACTGAGCTTGATAAGTGCTGTTGACTTCAAATGAAATTCTTCTCCAATACTCTTCTCTCTTTATTTTTTTATTTTTTATTTTTTGTTTTCTTGATGTCTTTAGATATGCAGTATCATTCACTTTCAGGATAGGAAGGCTTGTGGGGATTGAGAAATTCATAATTAACAGAAAGAGGGGAAACACCACACACAGCATAGGACAAATTAGTTCACCACTAGAAACTGATAGAAGAGTTTGAAGGCACAGTACGCAGCAGAAGCACACATGAAGATGGCTCAAAACTAGTAAGATTGTTTCCACTTTGTATTGGGGTTCACATGCATTTATGGTTCTATATGGTTCAGTCTCTAAAAAAAATTTATTGGAGACCCAAAAAGAAAAATCAATAATATTCTAGAAAACTTGCTCAGATTTAGATTAGAATCCTTTGATATTCATTTGTCGTTTGTGTTTTTTTACTTAACTAATAAATACAGTTCTTCGTAGTTATATACTTATATAGGTACACATGTTTTAAGAAACAGTTCCTTTTTGTAGTATATAAATCTAGTTTCGTAAATACAAATCCTTTATGTAGTATCTAATTCTAGTTTTTTAGGCATTAAAGAAGTAGAATTGCCATCTCGAAAAAGTAATTTTCTTTTAAGGAACCCAATATGAGGTTATAAACCCTTCAATTTTTTCTTCTCCTTCTCTTGGTAAATCATAACAAAACCCTAACATCCTAATTCCGTCTCTGCCACTCAAATATTAATTCCAACTGAATTTGCATATGACACATAATTAAGTAACAATATGGGAATAGGCATGAATGCTGATATGGATTTGGTCCTGCTTCTCGTGCTTTGGTTTTTCCCCCTTTGTGTGCTAACATTTTCATAATAAAAATCACAATTTTCTTTAAGAAGTAGAATTGCCATCTCACATAAGTTGTAGAAAAGGAAAGGAAGCAAAGTTATTATTCCATTCAACTCCAACCTCACATAAGTTGAGATTAGGAGGATATTACAAAATAGTTATAGGATATAGACATATCTAATAATATCTTATAATCTCTAATAATATCTACTAATACCTAGTGATATCTACTAATTACTACCAATTCCCCTCCAGCTAGAGTGTATATAATATATATGCCCAGCTTGTTACACATGGGAACAAAACTAGTTGCAATAGTTTTTGTGACGTTATTTTTGCCTAGAGTACTTGAAGACATCAGCACTCAAAAAACTGTGGTCATAGTCGTATATCACCGACGTACAAACAAGCCAAGAGTCCAGAATAAAGTTAGATAGAAATCACAAGAAATGCTCGTTTCTATAATAAATAGATGGCCAAATGGTCAGAAATAAGACACTCTCAACATTCGAATCAAGTCTTGTAAAACCATATAGGCCAGAAGAAACCCTAGGCGGGTCAGTCAGAATAAATAATGCCAAAATCTACTGCTAAATGGCTGCAAAAAATCATGGGAAGATGCCCTAGAGAGCACCTGTTCATGAATTACTATTCACATGGTGAACAACAGATCCGACATTCTTTTTTGAAGCTAGGGGTATTTTATAAATGTTTAGGAATTGCCAAGGGGAAACATAGAGTCAGTGCCTGTGTTGGTGTCCTCGAGGTTGAGAAAAGACGAGAAGTTATCTAGGATCAAGAAGTAGGTTTTGAGATCATATAAAGAAAGAGAGCAAAAATTTTATTTCATCTAACACTAATGTCTTTTAAATAGAGATTAGGAAATATGACAGTCAGTATGGGATATAGTCATATCCAATAAAATCTGATAGTACCTAATGATATCTAACAAGATCCAATGTGAAGGTGTGAAGGTATGAGTAACCAGCTTGAAGAACATATTAGATGGGGGCTGGTTTTGTTGACATGTATTTTCATTCTCTGGGGATCTCAGAAATTTTGGACATGTTGTATGTTTCTTGTTACATGCTAGTGTTATAATATCCTGTTTTTTCACATGTTGAAAAGTTTTCAAAACCCTGTCCTTTTGTAAGCTTTTAGTGGTTATTCCTTCCATCAATAAATAAAATTGATAGCTTCAATCGGGGCGAATTTCTAGCTAAAAAAGGTACGAAGCCTCCAATCTTTTTATCTCCTTCTCTTTGTAAATCTTAGCAAAACTCTAATTGTCATCCTTCGAATTAAAATACTAATTCAGTTGAATTTTATTGCAGTATGTAGATTAACGATATATACTAACAATATTGGAATAGAAGAACATGAATATGGGCGATAACATGGATAAGAACTGTAGTGTTGAACATCGTAGAAGGATTTGCTCATCATATCAGTGTATATTACTCCATACTGGACTTTTGAGGGTTTGAAAACATCAAGAATCACGTGTCAAATAACTGGATTTCGAAAACACATCACTTGTCAAATCACTTGATACAAAACACATCACTTATCAAATTGCTTGTTTTTATCAATTGTACCAAAGTAATATTGATATGTTCACTTGTCAAAATTAGAAACCCTTTAAATCAAGTGAATGAGCGTAAATCTCATTTTCTCAATCAAAAACAGTTCACAAAATTATTTTTATTATTATTTTGTTTCATATACCAAATCACAGAAAATCTCTTGAATCTGTCAGACTTTGAAACACATTTAAATCACTTCCTTTTTCAATAGCTTTTAAATAAGGCAATATTCATAAGTATTTGACATCGCATGAGAACAAAAATCAATTATCACATTTTATATAATTTATTTTCATATTTTATATGGAATAAAAAATTACTTTTCATATCTCATACGAAATCAAATTTTATTATTGTGATAGGCTATCAGAGCATAAGTCAAATCACATTTTAATATATCATATTTAATATAATACGATACTCATGTGATTTGTATAATAAAAATACTAGTGAGAAATAAACTCACCTCAATTTGATTCTCCCAACTTGGCCCCTTCAATATTATCAAGCTCCTATAGAATAAAATTAGAAGGTTAATGTCAATTCAATTTAGACTTATACTATAGTTTAGTCATTTCATAATTCTAGGTCCAAATAGGGTCAAAATCAAAATATCCAATCTTTATAACAAAGTTCCATTATTTTTGGACCTCTTAGAATCCTGTCCTAAATGACACTTGCTCAATTTTTTAAACTCTTTTTCAATCATTTAGGACCTTTGAGCAAAGAAAAGAGTTTAGAGGATCTATACATAATTATTTTAGCCCATTTATAATCCTACTTTACTATCAGGACTTGTCCACAAGTTTTGCAAACTTTGACGGAGTCATATAAAATTATTCATTCAAATAACATTTGGTTTGGAGCGTTCTACAATCAATCTGGACATATTTACAAATTTTAGAAGTTCAGGGGATTATATTAAAATTTGCCTTTCTCGTCTTCTTCCTCTTGTTTCTACCTATTTCCTTATTGAAACCAAAGTTCCATGGGTTTGAGCCATAGGACCACCACTCATGACTTTTCCTTAGGTCCTACCGGTGGTCAAGTGACGGAGAGGTTCTTAGAGGTTCTTCGGTGGTTGAAGGTGATTAGCATCTAGGTCCTCGCTGAATCTAGGGCTTCTTTTTTTTATAATACAACCTATCAAATAATTTCCAAGATCCAACACTCATTTTACGACACCATTTGCTTCATCTTTCATAGTTGTTTTGATTAAGTCAATAAAATGCTAACTAGAGATTGAGTAGTATACGTTCTCTTTAGCTAGGAGTGCCTCTTTATTTCCTCTTCATGTCTCCTAGCTCTCTACAGCCTTACCTTCTTTCTCACCTTCTTTCTTTTCCCCCCTCTATTCTTCAAACTTAACTGAGAAGAAGAACGAATGACGTGAGTGTTTCTCTAAATCTTCCTTCTTTCTTTTTTTTTAATACATATTGAAGAGGAAAGAGATGTGTCCCTTTTCCCTCATTTGCAACCTTCTACAACTGAGAATTTAGCACTTACCCACTCAATTCTTTAAGCGATGCAGCTCATGCAAGCTGGTGGGCAAAATTTGTAAGAGACACCCGAGATCATAAGAATTTGCATACTAGTTAACTCATGATAATTTAACTTAATTTGTTAAGAAAATAGGGTTACTACATTCTACACTCCTAATAAAATGTTTCGTCCTCGAAACTTGGCATACTTAAATTAAAAAAAAATCAAATATTTGTTTCATATAGAATCTTCGATTTCCCAAATTGTTTCCTTCTCGGAGTG